TTGCAATCTTACCCTCAGCGGGTCACGTAGCCCAAACACTGAAACGCATTCCTAATGACACTCTTCACTTTCATCCGATACATTCATAAACATCCCGTCCACACGATCCTAGCGCACGGTCATTCGTCCTTTCGCACGCACTCTAGATAACATGCTCGACCCACTCATCCTGCGATACCACAGTATGTATCACTGCTCGCTCAGCGGAAATTAATTCCGATCAATACGACACCTACGTCCAAATTTAGCACGTTCCCTGCCGGACCGTTTTTCGAAGACTTTCCGTTCAGGCCGCGTGGGGTGTATGCGCCCCACGCTTTACAGTTGTATTGTTTTGTTTCTGGCGTATGCCTTACAATGATTAAAATAGTGCAAAAATCATAATTATCAAGGAAAGGGTGTATAGTTTAAGATGCATAACGCAACAAACCAATAAATTCATTTTTCTAGGAATCAGTTTAACAAATACTTGGCTGAGTATTACCAAGCGAGTTGCATCCTCACATATAATTTTTTTTATCATGCCTATATTAGTTTAAAATAGAACATTTTAATTGAAATCAAGTTTGTATACAATTACAAAGAGATGTTGCGGTGAATTTTGTTAAAACATGGCAAACATAAGTGTGGTTTATCCACACAACTATCGCAGAATGTTGCAACTTTTATAGTACAGTTTCTTGTCGATTGGGCACCTAAATTTTTAACATTTTTTTCGTAGCAAATTTTGCTGCGTCTTCTTATCGAATTAAATTGGCCTTCCTTTTTTTTTAATTTCGTGTCGATTTCTTCTTGGTCCAATTGGTAGAGAATTATTATTATTATTACACGACATCAGATTCATTGCTAATGGTTTTCGGAATTCGATGCTTGTTATTTTTTGATTTCTAAGACTGTTATATGTAATCCACGAATTCACTACAGCTGTGTTCAAGCACGGTTCAAATACATTTTTTTTGTACCAATTTACTGATTTTCGAAGAGGACTGCAATACGAAGCCATTTGATCGGAGATATCTACGTAAGATTTTCCTTCGTTATAATCAACAATAATAACCAATATTGTTTTTTAACAATATTATTAGAATGCTTCGTTGATAATAGAAGGACATCACGCTTGTCCTTCCATTTCAATATTGTCAAACCATCATTGCTTTCCTTAGCAATATATTCATATCGCTGTAATTTCTTTGAAAGTAGATCTTTTGGAATTTATTTTGAGTGATAGCTTCTTGGCTAATTCGATACTTGTGTACCAATGATCGATACATATTGTATGACCTTTGCCAAATATATTTGTACACAACGACAGAGCAACATTGGTAGGCGTTGTTTACTCCATATCCGTGTTTTCCCACAATAAATTTTGAACGTGATCGTGTATCCTGGTGTTGAATATAATTTGAATATTTCGATACCGTACTTATGTTACTTTTGTTTTATATATTGTTTGAAGACAATGCGACCTCGAAAAGGAATGACAGATTCGTCCACACAAACAATTTCGCCTGGTTCAAAATACTTTTCAAAATTTTCATTTAACATATCAATTATTGTTCTAATTTTATACAAGCGGTCGTTTACATTTTCTTTTTCATTGTCGTTAAAATGCAACATTCGCAACAAAAGTTCAAACCGATTCCTTGACATTATCGAAGATGGAAGAGTCTGCGAATATGCCGGATCTTTGGACCAATACAAACTTATTTCTGCAAGCTTTACAATTCCCATCCACATAATAAGTCCAAAAAAACGTTTTATCTCGCTTTTGTTCGTTGGTTTCCATTCACCTAATCGCGATGATGTTTGTTCTAATAGTAATTTTTGCGCATACCGATTGCTTTCTGTAACTACAAGATCGAAGAATTCATCATTCAGAAAGAAAAAATAAATATATTCTGGTTTTTCATAAGTTGGATTAAATATTTTGAAACCCGGTGAACCAACGAAAGGCGTAAGGCGTGGTTGGTTTCCGGTGAGATCAGCCCAATCTATATACAAAGTAGTTATATTGTTTACAGAAGGTTCAGCATCTTCTTCTTTACTAGTGGATAAAATCCTAGTACCGTGTGTAGAAAGACGATAGAGAGGTATGATTTCCTCTGAACTGTCAGAAAAATCATCGGAAAAGCTTACTCGTGTAATCCTATGGCGTTTTGTTAGAATTTCTGCGAGTGGCACGTCAGAATCATCACTTGAAAAACTGCTGCTGTGTGATGCCATGTCCGCTTATGAGGAGCAATTATTGTAAAATTTGGAAAAGCTCTGAGGAAGAGAAGGAGAGAAAAATCGCAAACATTTTTAAATGCAAAATATCCTAATCTATAACACCGAAATAGTATATACGTACCGTATTTCCTCCGTTTATTGTACTTTAGAAACACACTGAACTACAAATAAATCCCAGCTTCAGTGAAGCAATAATTGTATCAACGGCACGCGAATAAATGACTGATCGAAACAGGAAAAGTGTATATCGTCACTAGGTTGATCTTAGTTGGCGACGATTAGTGACGAAGTGTTAAGTGGACTGTATTTTAGGAAAACTATCTTCGTGACTATTCTGTCGGTGGTTTTATAAGCTTCCTCTGTCTACTGATTGGTTGCGAATAATATTGGGGGTGTGTGCTAGCTCCAGCTTCTTTCGGTGGTGGTGGTTGTTTAAACAATCTGGGTCCTTATGCCTATCGTCTTAAGGGTGATATATTGTTGCTTCTTACGGTTTACCTAAGTGGTGGCTTAGGTGACAATGCATACATGCGCATACGCCCCACAGGGAACGTGTTAATACGACCGCAAAGGGTTAAATTCCTCACCACGAGTCAGACTCGTGGTTTTCGTTTATGGCACAAATTTCTTACCACGAGTCTCACTCGTGGTTGTAGGCCAAAGGGTTAAGCGCGTGGTTGTCTTTTTTGTTTATTGTGATGAGCTGGTTGTCCTATGTGCTGGCCTGATGGTATCCCCGTGGTAGTCGTTGCTATTGATAGGGTAGCAGGTAGAAGGACGACAGAAAAAGGAAGGGATACGTAGCGTCCTGGGCCTGCTAGTGGACTCGTCAGTAAGGCTTGCTTCTAGCAGGCCCTGCCTTAGACCAGGGATATCCAGGTAGCACAGGAACTTCCATTTAAGAGAAGTCGAGGTTTCGCCGAAGACTTGCGAGAAAGTCCTCGAAGTCCTACTCCTTCAAGTAGGAATCCATCCACTGGCAAGGGTGTGAACTTGGTCGCTACAAGGTTAAGCATTTCTGCGTATCACTAATGGTAGCGGTGGTATCATCTTATAACAAAGTTATTGTTGTAACACGTAAAATCATGTATATACCATGTAAAATTACAAGGTGATACAAGCAACTGTAACAAATGATATCTTTGTTTTGGTTGAGGTTAGAAACAGACGTTAGCAGAAGAAGATGAACAGCTTCAATAGGCCTATAAGATCAGGTCAATCGTTTTTGAGTAGGTGGAAGTGTAACCAAAAACATGTAAAAATATGTATTCCTACATGTTTTTACGCAGAATAGAAAGAAGGATTGATACGTACCAGAAAAGATGTAGAAATATTTAGCAGTTTTATTGCCAGGAGTTTTTAAAAATTCGTGGCAAATAGTGTCATGTGGTGCAATTGCACCTCTATTGTTTGACTGCGAATTATAATTACTAGGTAGTAATTATAATAGCAATAGTTATTTTAACACTAGGTTTGCCAGGAGTTTTTAAAAATTCGTATTGGATAGTGCCATGCGACACAATAGCGCCTCCTTTGTTTGACTGCGAGTAATAATTACTAGGTAATAATTATAATAGCAATAGTTGCTTTAACACTAGGTTCACGGACGATATCTGTATACCTATTTCTAAGGACACCTATCAAATTGACAGGTAAAGGAAACCACGTGCCTTTTTTTTAACGATTAGATTAATTTAAAAACAATTATAAATTATATCAACAGTCTTAATATAAATTAACTAGATCTGTCACCATCGTATAATTGGAGCAACCTTTCCATCAGATTGACGGGTTTTGTAAATCTAGTGTTAATAAAAGTAACTGAAGCGAAGCTCTTTATTTATGCACATGGTTTAAGTTTAATTGTAAAAAAAAAGAAAAAAAATAGTAATTAAAAGAGGAAGCTTTCATGTGACTGATTTCATATGTTTCGGCACAGCATCCCAACATCGTGTGGCACTAAAATGTTTAAAAAAATGTTACTTATCTTCATATGACCACTGCGTCTTTATGCAAAAACGATTCTTGGACTTGTAGGCCTTTAAAAATTGTTTATCTTTAATTATTAATCAACTATTAATTAAATTTTTCTTCAATGTTGATTAGACTAATTTTTGTTACTTATATTAACCCTTTGCACTCGAGAGGTGACTTTTAGTCGCTGTTTAATCAGATTCTAAAGATCGTTGTTAATTAACCCTTTGCACTCGAGTGGTGACCCTCAGTCACCATTTTATAAAATTTGGAAGATCGATATTAATTAATATATCAATTTTAACGTAATGTAACAGTGTGCAAGGTATCGAAATCAAATAATTCTACAATTCTATTATTATAAAATTCTTTATTTACTGCTTAAAAAAGTATCGTCAGTTTTTTAACAGAGAATCCTTGATTTTCTACTCATCTCTAGCCAAAAAATCGTCGAGTGCAAAGGGTTAATATCTCCAACTTAAAATTTCTTAATAACGCGTGGAATATCGAGGTGAAATAATTCTACGTCTTACAATTAACTTGTACTTCTTATTTATCGTTTTGAAAATATCGTCGACTTTATGGCAGAAAGTTTTCGAATTGCTATGTTTCTGTAATGAAAAGATCGCCGAGTGCAAAGGGTTAATTGCATGTGTAACACTCACACGTATAACACGTATACGCGTATAACACGTTCACTTCACTCTTGCAATATTTCGATATTGTTCGACATTTTTCTCATTTATTTTCCTTTATTAATCCAACTTATTTAAAGGAATATTTTTTTAAAACTGCAGTCATGAACCATTGCGACGTACGTGGAAGTGAGGCATACTGTGGCGAATCTGCTCATTGTTTATTGTGTGAACAGACCGGTGCTTCCCAAATCGCAGGAGTGAACCTAAGAACGATACGAAACAATATCGATGGCTCCTTTGATCTTCGCGAACTGGCATCGAAGTTACGTAAAAACAGAGAACACGATCCTATTTCCAAGCTTGTACTCGTAGAGAATACATTTAATGGAAAAATTGTTCCGCAAAGCTGGCTCGAGGAATTAGTGTCACTGTGCAAGGTACGTAACCTAAAGATGCACATGGATGGGGCCAGGTTGTGGAACGCTAGCATAGCATCAGGAGTACCTGCAGCAAAAATTGTCTCAGGCTTTGATTCTGTATCTTTCTGCATCAGCAAAGGTCTAGGTACGTGTTATTTTCTAATTTTTATTATGTGTCTTTATTAACATTTTCACGTAATTTTTCTTCTTCTGATTGTATTTTACTGTTATTTTGCAATTTCTATTATCTGTGTTTTTTAATACTTTCACGTAATTTTTGTAGTTGTTGTTGCTATTACTGTTATTTATATATATGTTATTAATATTCGCATATATTAGTTACTCTTCTTATTTGTGTTTTAACTATTTTTCATATCAATTTACTATAATAAGACTCGAATTTTTGAAATATCGTTTCAAAATTTCGTCATGGGAAATTTTTCTAACATAATATTATTAAGTTGTAACATATGAAGTATCGCTGGCTTTTAATTTAGCTAAATGCATTCTTATTTTTAGTTAATATAACTTTCTAATTTGTATATGTACTATCTGAATCTAGGTACTATTATCTACTATTTTATCTAACTATTTTATTTATTATTTTACACGATCTAATGCACATTTTTAATTTTCTTTCTTTACTTAGCACGATAATTCTTAAAACATTTATCGGTGTTTAATTTTATTGATACATTTTGAGTTTTTAAATTTTGCAATTTTAAAAGTATATTTTCTAAGAATTTTTTAAGAATTTCTAAGATCAGAAAATGTAGGTACCTGTGCTTTATTTAGTTTGCAAGGAATATTCTGTACATTTGGATTATTCGTGCTTAAAAATACGTTAATATATACATTTAATTTCTACATTTTAAATAATAAATAATACCAAAGTTATTTTTACTGCAAAGTTAACAATTATTATAAATCATCATTTAAAGAAATAGAAAAAAATTGTTTAACATCGGAATAGCAATTTGGTTGTGTAAAATTATAATTTTATTAACAATTCCCATCAATGTCGACCACATAGTAATTAATAACTGTTAATGCCATGATTTTTGTTCTGTCAGCTTTTACAAACCTCTCTCTTAACGAAAAATATTGAAACATTTCATTCATTCTTCTATTTCTGCATCCAAATATTCTTTCCTCTTAAAAAGAATTCCTTTATTTTCAATTTTTCTCCAGTTACGATTTTTTGAATTGTCTTTACACTTTATTTAACGTTTTTACAATGAGTTTCTTATTTTTAAAGAAGTTAAAGATTAACTGGATGTTGCTACACTAGTTATTCGTGCAAACTGTATAATCACATCTTATATGTATAATTTCTTACTAATTCAAACATTACAGATATACCATGACCATGCTTATTATTAACAGTGCATTTATCGGAATAAATAATAATATTTAAATACATATGTGTTTACTATGCCGAAAAATGTTGATAAATAAACTATATATTTCTTGTCTACTAGTGATTACAAGTAAACAATAAAGAAAAATAAGATAAAACTCAAGTCTCTTCCTTCGTCAGTGCAAGCTCAGGTATACGTTATCTTTTAACAGCTTCTAGGTAAGATCTTCTTCAGATCTTTTTCTTGCTCATTCTCACACGCTACGTTCCTGCTTATTTTCACACGCCTCTATGTTTTACTTCCCAAACTAATTTACACCATCAATAATTTCAACTTCCAATTTCAACGACATATTCTTTATACAGAGTGTCCCAGCAACGGTAGTACAACTGAGATGTGGGTGATTCTATATGCAAAAACGAATCGAAAAAGGAATAAAAATTTTTGTATTCAAAGCTTCGTTTTCGAGAAAATTGACTTTGAAAATTTGTTACAGTTATCTTTATTATAACATATTTATTAATATTAACAACGGGTATACAGTGTATACTATATTTCCGTATACAGCGAGATGCGAGACCTATTTTTGCGCGCGATCCTTTCTGCAGCTCAGACACAACCGACCAAACGTTCAACCTTTCGATTTCGTTGCAGGCAGTTCTTCATATACGATCTTCGTCCTCTAGTTGTCCTAGACCTCGTTGGTAAAGCGTTGATACGTAGCTTCATTGAGTTATTAACGAAGTCCTTGCCCGAGAGAGACCGAGTGGCGTGAGTTACCCAGTGATGCTGTTTTGCAACTTTCTTCGAGTCTTTAAGCGCTATCCCGTCACATAACGAGTGAACCACGTTTGCTCACCTTTGATCTACCTTAGAGTTCGTACTTATATCCCTCTGCTGGTTTTCAGCTTTCTTATTGTCATGTTTATTTCCTGCAACAGGTAGGATACAGTGTTAATTTGGTGTTGGGTTGTAGTTTCTTAAGAACAAAGATGTTCGGTTTTAATAGTTTTAATTATTACAATCTCGTTATAACTGCTGTTGCGGCCCTAGGACCGCAATGTCCCAAGTCAAGTGGAGGCCTGTTTTATGCCTCTATTGCAAGGGTCCCTTCACTTGCGCATGCTCAGTGTCACCTAAACCACCGCTAGGATAAACCGTGACAAGGACCCATATATTATTCTCTAGACGACAGGCATAAGAACCCAAATGTTTAACCAACCACCACCACCGAAAGACGCCGAAGTTAGCATACACCCCCAATATCATACCAACCAATGAGAAGACAGTCGATCCTTATAAAACTACCGACAAGGCATTCGCAAGAAGATTCTCAGTAAAACCTCCATCACGACCACATCAAGATTCTCTCTAAACTCCATCACGACCACAACATCAGCAATCGAGACCCACCAACACTCAGCGCAGGAGACTGTCTACTACTATAGAACTCCTTGCAGTTCAACACCAACCAGGTCTATCTCTATCAAGTTAGAGTAGGCCGCATCCCAAGCAGCATTGCCGCAGCAGCGTAACGGGCCTTACAACCCCGTGAAACTCCACCAGCGAGTTGCAGTGTTCGGGACGCAACAACTGCTATCGCGTTCGCACACTATCTGTACTCTACGTAGTCACGGTCTACGTATACAGTGACTCGCGAAAATATTCGGACACTAAGGTATGTCTGAATTTAAAACATTTTACCACCAGAATAAATAACGAACACAATCCGTGTATAAGTATCCGCGATACGATGTGATTAATTCAGACATATCTTGGTGTCCGAATATTTTCGAGAGTCACTGTATATACATGTGCATACACGTACAAGGTATGTCTTTAAGACGATAGATGTCACGTACCAATATATCACTACTTTGCAGGTATTCTTAACGTATAGGCATTGCGACTGATCTTTGTTGCTCATGCTTGCCAACCTCGCTCGTCGCTTTAGCGGTATGAACCGCCGCATTGATGGGACCGATAGTCCCCCACTTTTGGCCTTAACGTGGAAATAGGCATTAGGCGTATCACTGCGAAGCGTTACCCATTTCCTCACCGTTTCCTTTTTTTTTTTTTATTTTTACGTGGGGGAAATCTTCGAAAGATACCCGACCCCCCTAAGCATGGGGTTGGGGCTATGTGGGATTTTTAACCACTAAAACCCCCACGATGGCCAATCTATCGCGATAGTGGAGCACCCTGGACTTCGCGAGCGACGCAATTGCCAGGACGTCCCCGCGAATCACACCCGAAGGTTCCCACCCGGCGCGCTTGGGAACACGCATCGCAACCTCACGTACGCAGTATACACGCGAAACCGAAACGGACCCTCGCGTACCTCCATACACGTACCTTCATACCTATACTGGCGCCACGCGGTCACCACGCGACGTCGACTGCAATGACCACGGCCTCACGGACCGGCGGGCCCCAACCCAGCTGTCCGTGGTTCACCGTAGCCTTGGTTCGGGGAGGGGAGGGAGCCTGTGCCCCCATACCAAAGGCGCAGGGTTGCTCGAGATGCGCGAGGTCTCACGTGTTGACTCCTCCAGTGAGGCGGAAACCGCGGCGCCCAGCGCAGAACTAGCCACCCCGCCGTCCCCTCACCCATGATCTGTGGGAGCCTCTAGGCCCCGTTTATTACTGTTTCGCGCTGTCCACACTTATCTCCCCTCAGGGGCTACGGTCGACTTTGGTCGGCCGTAGTATGGGATTGGCGACCCCACGGTGCCTAGCTGACGTGCACCTACGTCGAGGTGGGCTAGCAGCCTCAGAACGGAAATGTGGTTCGCCACGAACGGGACGACCGGTACGCCCGTGATCACCGGTACCACGGGAGACCGAATTAGCCCTGGGCCGGCTGTCGAGAGGCAGTCCGCCCGTCGGTCGTTGGGTTGGCCTCGTGGTGGCAGTGGTTAGAGCCTACATCGCAGGCAAGGGTCCTCGAGGCCCGGCGTGAGAGTTGCGCATCGTACAGCTCGGGTGCTGTCCTCCTGAGGCAGTAGGGATTTAGAAAGGTCCCGTCCCAACACCAAGGGAGTCGATTGGGGCTAGCATCCCAGTTAGACAAATTGGAAGAGCGG